ATGAATGAATGAAAAGTGAAGAGTCATGTTTAGATTTAAAAAAGAAAAATCTGAATGACTCTAATATTGTGAAAAAGCCGAATGTTATCCATAACTTCAACACTGGGTGAGAGGAGATGTTGTGGGAAATAAGAATGCCTAATGCTCCAATCTGTCCCACTCCTCCCTACATCAATCTGTCTCTTTCTTCGGCACTTGTTATGTTACTATCACACACAGGCAGACATAGCCATTCTCTCTGCCACCCCCACCCCATCCCTCTTTTTCTGTCAGCCAGTCTCTCCCTGCAATCTTTAGCAGTAATACCAATCTTTTATCTCCAGTCTCGTGCTATTGACACAGTCATTTCAGACCCAGTGGGGAGGGATCAGGTAATAGAGATCTCTTGCGGTCTCTGTTTGTCTTGATATTACAAAACATCGCCTGGTATTTGTCTGGTAACTCTGCATATTTGAGTCGTTGCTGTAGGTGGGCTGTCATCTGTGCCCTTTTGTAACAGATGGGTGCCATTTAGAGTAAAGCGGAGATTCAAGTGCGACTTAAAAACCAGCTTTGAAATCTTCGCCAGATACAAAGCAACTGTGTGACTGTGGCCGCATGGTTGGATGTGCTATTAACTTGGGAGAATTTCGAGCGAGCACAATAGCGGAGCATTCATATTAGGCTTTTTTGATGAAAAAAGTCAGAGCTGAGAAAAGTCAAGGCAAAAAAAAAACCAACAGAAAAACAAAAACAAAATGTGATAAGAGCAGGTTGCTTTGGAATGAATGCACATCCCCAGAGTAAGAGCGTTTGGTCGCATGCAGTCCAAATGATGAAAGCCCAAAGGACTGGATGATGATTATAGGAAAACAGAACTTGTTTTCAGTCATTCACATAATATCAAAAAGGTATCCAAAGGACAAGGAAGTGAATTATCATGTGACTCCTGAAGCCAATGACCTGCTTAACTGTTAGGATTTAACCTCCATTTTCTCTCACGCTCCGATGAAAGCCGCTCGCCTGAATCGTTAGCCTGTTTGCTTACATGGCTGGAATGAATTGATGAAATTGTGATTCATCAACTCTCTGTTTTAAGTTATGTATCAGTTTTACATTTTTGTAATTCAACACTGGAATAAGAAAGGTTTTGTTCTGTACAGAAACCCCATTGTCCTGTAGGTCTTCTTTTGAAAGGTTAGCTATTCTATTCAATTCAATTTTATTTATACAGAGCCAAATCACAGCAACAGTCACCTCAAGGTGCTTTATATTGTAAAGTAGACCCTAAAATAATACACACAAAGAAAGACCCAACAATCATATGCACCCCCATGAGCAAGCACTTTGGCAACAGTGGGAAGGAAAAACTCCCTTTCTATATCAGATTTATAGATTTGTATATTAGTTACTGTGATGTGATTCTTATAGCAGGTTAAGGGGCATTTTCTTTTTAAATTTCATAGTGTGATATAAGTGCATACACATGTGCTAACACCTATAGTATATATAAATGTACTGCACATAGGATATGTCTGTATATTTCTCATCTTTACCACACATGATGCAGAAACGCGCACACAGTACAGCTTTAAAGGGAGATAAGCCCAGTGGGGTTGCCCACTTGGGCTGGAGATAATCAATAACATTCTCTAAACTTTCCAAAGCATTGAGGAAAAAAAACTTTTTGTTTATGACTAGAAAACCATGGAATATATCTGACAGTTTGTCAGCTCTTACACCCTAAGCTTCACTTTAGAACCACAACCAACACAAACTGATCAAAGTCAAGAAATGGAATCAATGAGTCAGCAAAGCGTGTAACAATAGTTAGGAAGTCTATCTATCTCCAAAACATCATGAAGGAAAGCTATATGAAGGAGGATGATGTGCAACACATACATGCAAAGATATGTGCACACACACACTATGTTTATCACACACAAGTATCAAAAACAGACTCAGCAGCAACCCATATCACAAATTATGTCGACACCTCTGCTGGTATTTATCAAACTGCACTAACTCACTTAATTAGATGTTGTACCCACACGCAACTGTGGCACAAGAGTCAGGCTCTGTAGGACTTCATGCACACACTGATTTACGCCTACAGCAATAGTGGAAATTTTTTTATTTCTAAGTAACTGTGTGATTATTTTATTTCCGTCCTGTACGTTAAACTGAAGTGTCCTGAAGTGAGTGCAATCACTAAGTAATCTTGCTCATGTACTAATGGAATATGTATCATATGTATTTTTTAAGCACCTTAACCTCAGTTTTTAATGGAAGGGAAACGTGCAATATCTTCTGGTCAATGGGAGGGGGTGTGCCAGTCAACAGTAGTCTCATCCTTGATATTGCTCAGTAGCATTCAAACATAATGAAGAAGTTCCAAAGTGCCTTTAGATTTCTGGATAACAGCACAACACGATTGCAGAGTGGCTACTCCATGATAATAACGACAAGCAGCTGTTAAGAGGCAACTGATGGTAATCTTGATATCTGCAATCACAAAGCACGCTTCTTTGCAGCTCTGAATCGTTCAGGTCCCGATTTATAGTGTTCATGTGACGAGTTCAAAACAGTAATGTGCGTACAACTGAGAAGCCATTTACACTCGACAAACAAACACATGAAATTACCATGATCACTGTACAAAAATGGTAATTATTCTTTTTTTCCATATAAAGAATGCGTCAAATGGCAGCAAAACCTTTCCCACATAGCGATCAATACAGAGAATTATTAATCTCCTCTTCTCTGTAGAGCCTTTTAAACCAAAAGCCATAATTAGTGAAAAAGAGTGAAAATATAGATGAGTGCAGCCTGTAAAAAGTCAGCTACTTCCCAAAGGATTTGGTAAAGACCAAAAACATGACTAAAAGAGAGTCGTGGCTGTACTTACATTCCCCGCTGCTAATTAATGATCAAATTAAAACTGCTGGCATGCCCACAGTTAGCATACTAGCTAGGATGACAGCTAGGATATGCAAAGATTTAACATTTATTAACTGTAACAGAAAGAATTTGCAGTTGTCATCATAGTTTAAACTTTTACTCGCTACGGCTTATTTGTGTTTAATAGGGCAGCATTTGCGATTGGAAAATTGCGGCCTTTCATATCGTGACTTTGATTAATTGTTCGGCCCTAATAACAACGCTACAGTGGAAGCAGACACATGTGAAGTATATGTTCTATACAGCCATGCCATGATACTTTAATCATCAGCATAACAGTATGTTGAGGGCTGAAGATTGTAAATGCGTGCCGTCTCCGTGACAGATGTGGGCTTGCTGCTTCTGTGGGTACCCTTGTCGAAATAATGAACCTGCTGAGCTGGCCAGAGGTATAGGAGGCCATGTGGACTGGAGCAAAACAGAGCAGAGAGACTTCCCTGGATCACTGGGCCTGTGATTTCCCTGTGGGGGGTCTTGCTGTGGCAGGACTACAGCTCTAACAACCTCGGCCTTGGTCTCCCCAGCCTTGCTCTGGCTTGGCATCGAGGAAGCACCTGACACCAAAGGGCT